TCCTAACAACCTTTTGCCTACAGACCAAAAAAGCAGCTTCAAGCATCTCTTAATCATGCTAACTTAAACATTTGGCCAACCAAAGTTACTAGGTCAAGTCCAAATACGGCCTGTGTACCCTGTATTGTTCATGGCGGTATGCTAGCTAGATGATCTATCAAACTAAACTAATATATCCCTGAATTTTGACAGGCACAGCAGCATAATCCAACAATAAAGCCAGAGCCTATCAACCCTGAGTCACATGAGCATTCCCCTGAAGTCAAGTGTACTGTTTGCATGAGGAAGGTGTACTTGAGTAAGAAAAGCTTTTAGAATCAGGCCAATGTCCAAGTAATCCTCCTGCTCCAGGACCATTCCTTTCACTGTGAGTTTTGCTGAGAAGCAATACTTGTTTGCCGTATCATAGTTGGTTTGTGGGTAGTCAAATAGTGGCTGAAACACATGCAACTAGATTATTTTAATGCATTATCTGAGGCTTTCTTCAGTGAGGAATAACTGACACCTTGTTATTACATTAAATGTGGAACAGTCCTTTTGTTCTGTGCGTATCCCAATTTTAAATTGATTCTTCCAAGTGGGTGAGGAATTTCCAAGTGCTTCAGAGCTGTACAAGGGTTACAAATAACTATAGCTGATCAAATAGCGGACAAATTTGGAAAAATTCAATCAATTTTAAAGGAAATTTCAATTCAATCATAGTCAACTTAGGTTTATTTTCAACTAATGTTCAGACTTTACTAGTACAACTATAAAAAGTGAATGTTTCACCTATTCAACTTGAACTTGAATACATTTGAATGTAGCATACATTCAAACGTATACTACAGCCCTCCACTATTGTGCTGAAAAAATTACCAGCCCGAACACAAAATCCACTCACCCATCCTTCACCATGATGATTGACAGTAATGAAAAATGAATGAGATTTTATTTGCCAGGCCAAAAAAAAGTACTCTTCTTAGAGAGTAGAACTTTGTAAAGCACCTTTCATTGTAAAATAAGTGCCTTGCATTTCATATTAACCAACAGAGTATGGATGGCCAATCTTTGTGTCAAATACACAATCTGTCATGTGTGCTTTGGCTAGTTCAATCAGGAAACAGAAATGAAACCACCTGATTAATATGACCGATCAGCAAAGGGAAAATTACAAATTGTATATTTAATTGTAGAGAAAAATTCACAATATTTGCAAGCTGAGGTCTGCAGACCATTGCGTTCCTTAAAAATTTCTCCTCAAACAACAACCCACTCCCCCAAGCTCCCTGGAAGTTGTTTGTGTGCCTTTTATTTATTTATTCCCACCTTCCATTTCTTTGTCCCATTTTCTCTCTGTCTATGTCTGACCCATATCTCCACAACATTTTCCAGACTGTGCTCTTTTTAAGACTATATGTTATTGTGGTATGGATGCAAGTAATTATAATGATGAATAGGGCAATCTGAAAGGCTAGTTCAGTTCAAGTATGTGGTTGCATTGGCAATTTGACTTATTAGGGATCTGGAAGGTTCTAGCTGACCTGTAATTGTACTTACGCCCTCTTATACTAAGAATCTTTGTAGTTTTTAATTATTCCCATTTAAACTGACCTTTACCTTGGAAGGTACAATATTTACACGTTGCTGGTGAAATCTTTGTATGTTTCAAAAAATTCCTGGTCATAGTGACCGGAGCTAAGAGGACACATTACACATGCACTGCAATTTTGCCAAGAGTAAGTTTTTTGTTGTTGTTGTTTTAAATGCAGAAAAACAAAATGTTTTTGTGTATATGTAATGCACGCACACGCAGACACAGATGTACACCCTTTGGATAGCATAGATTATCTGTGTATCTATTACGATGTTCCCAACTCTTGTAATTTTGTGGTGAGTCTTCGATAGCTAGTACTTTTCCTAAAACTCCAACTGCCAGAGTGAGGTTATTACCTAGGAATCGCAGCTTTCATTTTAAATAAAGTAAATGTCTAACCCTCGTGTTGCTGAGAAAAGCTGGCAAATGTGAACTCTAGATACTCCAACCCAAGAGGGCAAAGGAAAATAACTTTCTTTTAAAATCTCATGATTGGGGGGTGGGGCTGACTCATGAATTTTGAATACTTGAGCTTGGCAATGCTTCTATTTTTGGTCTGATTTTGGCTCCCATATGCTCCAGCTATATGGAATGCCCAGCGCTTCTGAAAATCAAGCCCCAAGATCTTATTAGTCCACATGTGTGTGTAAATATTAGTGTTTCATTGGTGACACTATTATGTTGCTTTCTTCCTAAGTCTCTAGTTGCAGGTGTTTGCATTTCTGAAAATATTTCTTGGTGCGTCAAGATTTCTCAGTCTGACAGTGAATGTTGTGGAAAATTCTGGTGAAATTCTAGTTGGCTCATTTTTTAAAATCCAGACACATTTTTTTACACTTGGCCAGCTCAAAAATTTTTTTTTTTTAAAACTTGCCTGAGAATTATTCCTTACTGAGGACAGGTGCCTGTGACATGACTGAATAAAGTTGGCTTAGAAATCATGAAGTTAAAAGAGTTAGAAAATCTCTGGATGTGCATAGAAATTACAGGCTAGGTTGTGGCATTTAGTCACAGCCTGTAGTAAAGGGCAGGGTGGAGACACACCACTTTAAGGGGAACACAGGAGGAATTCTTCCTCAAAATTCAAGCTCCATGGGGTGGAGTAAGTTTTGTAATTCTTCTTCTAAGGGGTGCAGCATCCTCTCCTCACACCAGAGTGGGCAGCTGGCTCCTTGCCCTCTTTCTGGAGTGCTGCTTTCATATGGGAACAGCTTGATAGCAGGCCCTGTTCTCCCCCAAAGGACAGTCATAAAGGGCTATGATTCTGGCCACACCTTACACAGGCTGAGCAAAGGGAGAGACTTTTTACTCCATCACCTCACTGTGAGGCAATGTAAGAAGGGCTGACCATAGATGAGCTCTATCTGTTTTCCACTCATTGTTTAACAAAGCAGTGAGTTGCAGAGCTCCAACGTACATGCATGAAAACATGGATAACTGGAGTTCTGAACATTGAAATACTGTGTAAATGGATTACAACAACTCAGTATGATTGGTCTGTACTGTCTGATATTAACTACTTGGGATCTTCCATCCTGGCTGGCCTACCCCATCGCCAACCCCTTTCATATTTGATCACCAGACTGCATATTGATTTTAAAATTTCTTTCATCTGGGGCTTTGTCCCTGGTTGTAGACCTGGAGGGGAGGCCATGGCATGTTGTGTGAAGGTAGGATGTAAATCTGCTGGGGCAAGAGGCCCTTTTATGACCAAAACAACGAGGAGTCCTTGTGGCACCTTAGAGACTACAAATTTATTTGGGCATCCACAAGGTCTCCTCGTTGTTTTAGCTGATACAGACTAACACGGCTACCATTCTGAAACCTATCACCATATTATGGCCAAAGTAGATCCAGTCACCAACCCATCAATCTGATCTACAAAACCATTAGCCAGCTCTGTGTGTTCCATTGTGCCATGATTGGCTAGTTGGCAGGACCTATTTTCTCTTAATGTTGCTCGGCAAAAGCACTTTAGACTTAATGGCTGAAAATAATTTTAAATGCTAAGGCAGCCACCTTAGGTTAACTGAGAGACCACCTTGAGAGACAGGGCAAATTTAATATTGCTCAAGACAACAACAAATTTGTTTATAATCTGACCAGAAAGGAACAAACCAGTCTTGTATTCCAGCTGCAGACTTCCAGAGGGGGCTTCTTGTGGTTGGTGATATCATGGACACATCAAATGCACTGAGAAAAGAAAAGTAACAAAAAAAGAAGATAGTCTTAGTAAAATGTTATATAATTCTGAATACTGAGTAAAGCTGTATACCTCAGAATAAAAAGTGGAGGCCAATGTCATGCCCCAAAAATGTGCAATTACGTATGTGTTCATTCGGCTGTTGAAGTAAAATCTTGGGATTAGGGCAATGGACAATTCTCAGCTCTGTCATAGATTTCAGGTATGACCATGGCAAATTACTTCATTTCTCTGAATAAAATGCTGGCCCCATTGAAGTCGATGGGATTTTTGCCATTGGCTTCAGTGGAACCAGGATTTCAGGCTCAGTGTTTAATTTTCCCATCTGTAAAATGGGGATTTGATAATACTACCTACTTTCCAGATATCGTCTGTTTTAACTATTAGATTGTAAATTCTCCTGGGTAGGGACTGAGTCGTCATATGTATTTGTACCGTCTCTAACACAATGAGCATCTAAGTACTAACAAAGCAAATAATATGTTTTTAAAGTTGTACTTCAACTGCCATATTTGCATAGCCATAATAATTTTAAAATGAACTATGTTAATGTGGGGAAATGCCCATCACTGTAATCTATAAATTGTCTGGTACCCTAATTCTATCCCTTTCATGCATAAATCTAGAACCTGACTTTAACAGAAATGAAAACCTCAAAAATTCATGTGACGTAGCAGCATAGAGAATAATCTAGGAACTGGGCTTTTACCTAAAATCCATAACATTGTTATATTATTTTAACATTTTGGTAAATCAAGAAATAAGAGAAAGACAGTTGTCACACTTACTACTGCTTGCTCACTGAGTCATTATCAGTTAGATAACATTGTGTATCATATGCCAGGTCAGAATAACCAGGGCAAAGTCATTCTAATCTGTGGCAGAATCAATTACAGGCAAGCCGCCATGAACAAAATCTCACAAATAAAGTAACATATTATATGTGTTTTTAATTTGTTTTAAAGAACTTTAGGAAAAGCAAGAGATACTCTTAAGCAGTCTGTCAAAGATTTAAATAATATAATTTCAATGAGCCTGCCATGGTCTGTCCAGAATTCCTCCCATTCAAAAGTCAATATGGTTGCAAAAAGAAAAGTGTTTGCATAAACTGATAACAAATTGAAAAATCAGCAAAATACAGCCTAGCAGTGGCCATGTGCTAGTGATGTTTTTTCTATAAAAGCCTCACGATGCCTGAGGAGGTCTTTATTCACTTTCATCATGAGGGGAATCATACTAGCGCTAGTGTTTACCCTTGTGGGTAAGTTTATACTTAGCCCTTCTCTGTTTGTCTTTGCTGGGTTTTTATAGTTGAGTCAAAAAACTTAAGTTCAAAGTTAATTTGTTTGCCATTATTCATGTGTCCATTTGATTTCTTTTCACAGGGAGTGAAAAGTATGACCCTGGTAAGTCTACTGTTCATTTCTTAAGCTTCATTCAATGCCTTTGTCATAATGACCACGAAGCAGAATGTCTTTTGAACTATTACTAAAAGTGAATATTTGTATCATTTTCCACAGAGCCTGATTTTAGTAGCAGCAAGACCTACTTGTACAACTATGAGGGCCTGACCCTAAATGGACTGCCAGAGCCTGGTTTGGCAAGAGCTGGGCTGAGACTGTCCTGTAAACTAGAGATCAGTGGATTGTCACAGAGGGCTCACCTTCTCAAGGTAGACTGCACTATTTCCAAAAGAGATCAAGCAAAACCAGTGTTGAATAGCAAGTCAGGTTAAAGCGATACTTGGGCTACTGAATGTTGTAGGCAGCCACAGGAAAAAAGCAATGGAGAAAAGAGCTTTGAAGATTTTAGGGAGTGGGAAAGGACTTGTGAGTTATGGCTCCGGTTTTCAAAAGTGACTAGTGATTTGAGGTGCCTTGATTTTGGAGTGTTCAACTTGAGACACATTAATGGGATCTGATTTTCAGAGGTCAGGTGACAAAAATGGAGGCACCAAAACTTATCACTGGAAAATCGAGGCACCAAAAATCACTAGTCATATCTGAGAACCTTGGCCTGCAACACCAGGGGTCCAATTCTGCTCTCATTTGAGGTTTTGATCTGGCAATCCTGACGCATTCCAAATTCCCATGGAAGTTATTAGGAGCAGAGGCAAGTCCTTAATTTATACGTAATAATAACAATTCTATCCAACTTACTTTTTATGTTATTCAGCACTCTTACTTATTCAATATTCAGGCAAAGCTGAAGCTCCTGTTGATTCAATGGGAGCATTGCCTAAATAAGGGCTGATGAAATAGGGTCCTAAAATTCTTCTTCTGACTTTGTACTGCGCAGTTACTTATTATGTAAAACTAAAAATCTATGTTGGGTATTCTATTCAACTTTATGCTCAGAGTGGTTGATGTGAATAGATTTTAAAAAAATATTAAGAGGTAATTCAAACGTTTTTAGCTTTTTTCTTTAATATATAATATACTCAGTGGGCCTGATTCAATGGAGGTATATTGGTCTTACACCAATATAAGAGCAAGAGGGGAGAATCAAGTTCTATGTATTTATCGCTATATATTATTTTTATTTATTGTTTGTTTTACCTTAGTGCCTAATAGCCCCCAAGCCATCATGGGCAAGGATCCCATTGTATTGGGTGCTGTACAAACAGCACAGAAGAAGGTCTCTGCAGTCTATATTCAGAGTAAACTTCATGTATAGCAATGTTAATTCTTTCCCTAGTTATTTTCTGTGTACAGTACATACTGTAAAAATATTTTTGCTCACAGAATGGAGACTAATGCATTTTCTGAATTTTGTTCTCAGATCCGATCTCCACAGCTGGAGGAATACAATGGGATCTGGCCCAGAGATCCATTCATTCGAGCTTCCAAACTCACCCAGCTGATCACTTCGTGTCTCACCCAACCCTTTAAGTTTGAATACAGCAATGGGCGGGTTGGAAACATTTATGCACCAGAAGATACCCCCGTCACGTGCGTTAACCTTGTGAGAGGAATTCTGAACCTGCTGCAGATAACTATCAAAAAGTCACAGAATGCATATGACTTGCAAGAGGTTTGTTTCTCCAGTTTCAAGCTAGTTTGCTGCCTGTGGCCAAGCATCACTTGTTGTTATTAAATGCTTTTCAGTCAATTAAAACTCTTGCTTAGAGTTTATTTGTATTTATTTTAAAATCTCACTCACAAGCCCAAAAATGTTAAAATACTTTCATCTGGACAAAAGAAAATATACATTTATATATGAAGGTGATTGTTTCTGGCAGATTGTCTATTACATTCTCTATATGTGCACTCTATAAAATAGAAGACTATGGGGAAAATAAAGGTAATTATCAGACATTTTGATCTTTATTGTATATCTTCCTCCTTTAGCCTATTCAGTCTAATCTATAGTGTTCATTGAATTGGCTATATCAATTAGTTGATTATTTCCTAAATAGAGTCTCTGTCCTGCAGCCTTTACTCATCTGAGTATTCCTGCTTACTTCAGTACTACTACTCATGTGCGTAATGAGAGCAGGCTTTGACACTTAATTAAGAAATGGTTTGCATATAGTCTTACAAAATTTCATTTTCACTTTAAATCTCAGTTCAGAGGAAAGTTCTTCCTTTCATGCAGACCTGATATAACTACAAAGCCCAGTTATTTTCTATCATTCTCTATAGGCTGGAATTGGAGGCGTCTGCCTTACAAGGTATGTTATCCAAGAGGACAGGAGGAGTAACCGAGTCTCCATTACCAAAACCAAAGACCTCAACAACTGCCAGGATAAAGTGGTGAAGGATATTGGAACGACTTTTATCCGCCCTTGTCCTTCTTGCCCATTGGTATGAATAATCTAAACAAATGCACTCTAAAAATGAGTCTACTCTCATGGTCTACTCTCATGAATTACATGAGTTTCTTTGCTCTTTTAGAAAGAAAAGATTGTAAAAGGAACTGCTGCATTCACCTACAAATTGAAATATGCAGATTCTGGCACCCTGATCACAGAAGTGGTGTCCCAGCAGGTCTATCAGATCTCCCCTTTCAATGAACCTGCTGGTGTTGCTGTCATGGAGGCAAGGTAAGACCAGAGGTGAAAATAAGTGTAAAGGTATCAGTCTGATCTTGTTCCCAAGTGAAGTAAAGGGGAGTTGTCCTAAATGGCAGCTGATAAAGTTTCAGGCATTCATACTCCACTCCACCTGCCCCCCCTCCAAAAAAAAAAAAAAGCTGTGGGAATTTTGCACTAACAATAATTTTTTGCTGCATCTAAATTGAACTTCGTATTGTAATTAAATGAGAAAAAAATGGAAAAATAATTCTGCTTCCTAAATCCATGGGAGTGCTTCTATTCAACAACGATTCCACTGAGAAAGTGATGCTTTATAGCACCAACATCCCCTGAGTTAAAGTGAACTTGAGGCAAACACAGAATAATATCACTATATATGATATGTTATCAGAAAACCAGTATCTCTTGCTCTGGAAAATAACAATTCATTTCCACTTAACAATTCAGCTCCAGTTCAGCAGTTATTTCATTGCAAATACCCATTATCCCCTCATAGTGTTCTGTTCCATTGGAAAGACCATAACCACAAGAAATCATTATTGTGATAGAAAAAACAAATAAAGAACTATCCATATCCCCACTGTACAGCCAAAGCAGTGAAGTCAGATGGATGCAGCTAGACAGCTTATTTCTCCAAAAGACACATGTTGATTTCTTTTTGTTTCCTTCCAGACAAGAACTTACCTTGGTTGAAGTGAAAAGTGAACATGTGAGCCCTCCAGAAATGCAGCTGCAGAATCGTGGAGGTCTGCCTTATCATTTCCCACCACTACTGTTCCAGATGCCAATTCAGCTAGTCAAGACGAAAAACCCTGAGCAAAGGGTATAGAATGCTTAGTTTATTAAGCTGCTTTTCCATTTATCTGACTAATAAAAGATCAATATATTATTACAAGCTAACGGAGAAGCAACTAATTATTATATTCCCTCTGCCTTCTATCCTCAGATAGTGGAAACACTGCAACAAGTAATCCAGGACAACCAGCAAGAGCTCCATGGGGATGCTCCATACAAATACTTAGAGCTTATCCAACTGTGTCGGGTAGCAAGCCCTGATACCTTGGAGTCTGTCTTTAAGCAATTTTCAGATAAACCTCATCACAGGTAATGATTGACTGTGTCACTCACAACTGACATGTCTTGTACAAGGAGCATAGAGAGCTAAATGTATGGATTTTGTACCTCGGCTGCAGGGTTTGGCTGCTGAGTGGAATTGCTATGGCAGGCACCATTGATTCACTGAAGTTCCTTAAGCTGAGAATTCGCAAGGATGACTTTAAGTACATTGAAGCACTTCTGGCTGTTTCTTTTGCCCTCCATTTAACAAAAGCGGATGGCCATACTATTGCAGTAGCAGCAGTGAGTATAATATACAGGATCCTTTTCTGGTCACATCATCATGATAACAATTGATAATAACGAGTGATTATATAGCACTTCAGGGGCCAGATTCTTCTCTCACTTACACTCATTTTGTATCAGAAAAACTCTGTTACTTCAATTGACAGCTGCCTGTATGGAAAAGGAATTGGGTCCTATATCTTCAATTTGTTATGCTGGCATTAAAAATTAACTCCCACACCTACCCTGAATTGCTATCCCCATTTTAGTTTTCTCGGACCATACATTCACTCTTCTTCCATCAAACCTCAGTTCATCTTTTTCTGTTAATTCTAAAGTATTAATGGTGATGGATGTGCCAGATAATTTCAGTAGCTCTTTAAAGCATTACATTTTCCAGTCCAGAGTAATTACATAACATTCCTAGACACTGGAATAAAGTAAAAGTATTGTAGGTGAAATATTAGCAAAATAAAAACATCGAACTCTTTACAATACAGTTAGTGCAACCGTCTATTCTATAGTAGACTTTCTTCTCTTTCTAGTTAATATTCCTATTTTTTAATATAAGAAAACACAGAATATGAAGTGAGCATGATTCTTTAATATAATAAAGAGTTACAGACTCTTACAGAGAAATTCCATTTGTAGATTGGCCCCTGCCAATATCCTTTGTACTTTGTATCCTGTCTTTCTTAGGCCACGTCTTCAGCTGATGTAAATCAGCATAGCTCTATTTAAGTTATTGGAGATATGTTGATGTATATTAGCTGTGGATCTGGCTCAAGCTTGTGTAAAATATTTTACTGGCTTGATTTAATGTTATTGAAAGTGAAAGATATTCAATTTTAAATAACCTTTCTAGATGAATCCTAAATAATTGTCCTTATCTGAACATAACCCTGATTTAAAGAGGTGCCTCTTTTCCTTCTGCAGGATCTAGTGACCAGCTCCCAACTTGAGAGAATTCCCATGCTTCGCCAGATTGCTTATTTGGGATATGGATCCATGGTAAACAGACACTGTTCTCTGGCTTCATCTTGCCCTAGTGAAGCTCTTCAGGTAGGTGTTTTTCATTTCAGATTGTTTTTAACAGCTTAAAAAGATAAGAAAGATGAAACTGCAATGAGACCTGATCATTTTTATTCTAGAAAACATGATCCAGGATATACACAGTGATTTAATTTACAAATGTTCATTCCAGAAGCTTCCTTAGTAGCCAAGCGATACCAGCCAGGAAGCTGTCATCACCCTTGAATACATAGCTAATTTAGAATAAATCCTGAGGAGGTCACTGAATATTTGTAATCGCATCAGTTGCATTACAGTCATAGGGTGAGGATAACAATATGCGTATGACTGAATTTTGTATGAAAGAATCTGCTTTGTTTGCAGCCCCTCCATGACTTTGCAGCCGAGGCAGCCAGCAAGGGCAATGAAGATGACATTGCATTAGCTCTGAAAGCCATTGGCAATGCAGGAGAACCAGCCAGTGTCAAGCGCATCCTGAAGTTCTTGCCAATATTTTCATCTGGTGCTTCTAATTTCCCAGTCCATATTCAGGTCGAAGCTGTGATGGCCTTGAGGCATATAGGCTTGAAGGACTCCAGAAAGGTAAGCAGAATCAATTATACTTTACCTGAATAATGAGATATGCAGAATATATGCCAGGGGGAAAGTGAGTTCAGTGGTGCAGTGTTTGTGAATTCAGAACAATTCTTTATTGTTATTAGTATCACGATATTACAGCCCCAAGTGACATCAGGGTCTGATCGTGTTAGGCACTGTAATTGTTGGGAGGTAAATGTAATGGTGTTTCTTTAGTCACTTGTCATATTATGTGACATCTTATATTAATCACATATTGTCATTGGTCTGCTACTGGAACACCCCTTGCTAAAGTGGTCTAAATGACAGTGAACACAGGGGATCAAATACACAAAACCAATGGAGTTACATCACAGATAAATTTGTCTCACTAGTCATAGCATTTTCTCAAAAGCTATTCATTATGTCCTCACACTTTTCTTTAATTCATCAGTTCATGCAATGGAAAAAAGATTACGCCTGAGGTTCTATTCTCCCTTTATTATGGATGTGTGATTTGTTGATACAAATTATACATTGAATCTGAAAGGGAGAATACCCACCTTAGAAGTTATTAGACACTTATGAAATTATATTTTCCCTCTCCAGGTGCAGGACATTCTTCTCCAGATCTTTGTGGATCATTCACTTCCTCCTGAAGTCCGAATGATGGCTTGTGTTGTCATATTTGAAACTGGGCCTGCACTTCCTCTGGTAACAACTATGGCTAATGTGATACTGAAAGAGACCAATATGCAAGTTGCCAGTTTTGTATATTCCCACATGAAAGCTTTGTCAAGAATTGGATTCCCACGCTTTTATAATGTGTAAGTAGAGAGAGAAGTAAAACTGTACATTATCTGTGAAGTACCATTTCTATTACATTCTTGTAAGTAAAATTATATATATATACACACACGTGCACACACACTGACTCAAATTACTCTGGTAAAATTTAGCTTACTTTTGTATATTTTTATCCATTTTTTTAAAAGATCTGCTGCTTGCAACATTGCCATTAAACTACTGAGCCCCAAACTTGACCGACTGAGCTTTCGTTACAGTAAAGTTATTCCTCTTGGTGGTTACTACAGTGAGTAAAAAAAATTAATTTACGGAGAGTGTTCATCATTGAAACACCATTTTCCAGTCATTTGGAGAACTAATGTAAATCATTCTGATTCTATCTGTAAGAGTTCTTTCCTTTTGGAATGGCTGGAAGGTTTTAAAGAGTTTTGAAAGGAGTATTTAATTAGTTGTATAAGATATTTTCTGTGTCTGAATTCTGAAAAGTTTAATGTGTTTCTTCTTTATGAAGAATTATTAGAGTATATTTGTGTTTACAAATTATTTTACTAGCTCTCTAACTTTCTTGTAAAATGCCTTTTACTGCAATAAAATGTACTTAGAATATTTAAGTTTGATCAGATAGTTTCACTGCATTTGTTAGTACAAAATTTTACCCCAATCCTGCAAACATTTATTCATTTGAATATCTCATTGATTTCAGTGGTATATTCATGTATATAGATACTTGCTGGTAAACATTTGCTAGGTCAGGACCTAAATGTTGAAAATCTTCATGAGAATATATTTTATGAAAAAAGGATTATAAACTTCAGATTGACATCCCCAGAGGTCAATAGAACAACAACATTGCACTGTTTTGTTTTTAATTTCTACAATAGGTAGATATCAGGCTGGTGCATTTGGAAATATCTTCCTTATGAACAGTCCAAGAACAATGTTCCCATCAGCTTTAATTTCCAGTTTGATTGTAAACTATGCAGGTGCAGCTACTAGTTTGCTAGAGGTAAATATCATATTTAAGTCAATAACAGATCGTATCAAAGTTTATTTTTGACAAATGTATTTCTTCACTAACAGTATGTTTTAACTGTATTGTAGTGCACCCTCTCATGCACAGTGTTGTTTTTTTATTAGGTTGGTGTCCGTGCAGAAGGTCTTACAGATATTATAAGGAAACAAAGCATCCCATTTGCAGAATATTCCACATACAGAAAGATAAAGGAGATTGGGAAAACAGTATGTGTTGTTCTCATTTTGTTTCATGTGATGTATTGTGGGTGGAATTCATCAAGGGCAGAGGGATTTAATAAGACTCTCAGCACCAGTTCAGTCTTGTACTGAGAGGCAAATTAACGCCCCTGAACCCAGTCTGAGTGTCTCAGCTATACACTGTGGAGATTCACATTGGGATAGCAGGGGAAGGATTCTTCTGTGGAGATGGTCAAGAATTTTCAAACAAAATGGATTTTCATTGGAAAATGCCAATTCACTGATACCTAGATGTTTCACAGAAATGTGTTAGATGAGGTAATATCTTTTATTGGACCAACTTCTGTTGGTAAGAGAGAAAAGCTTTTGAGCCACACAGAGCTCTTCTTCAGGTCTGGCAAACAGAAGAGCTCTGTGTGGCTCAAAAGCTTGTCTCTCTCATCAACAAAAACTGGTCGAATAAAAGATATTACCTCACCCACCTTGTCTCTTGAATATCCGGGGACTGACCCAGCTACAACACTGTATATCACCGAATTTTTCATTTTCAATGAACGTCTGCCAAAATGCAAAGAGGGTTCTGATGGAAACCTGCCTGGCTCCTTGCCCATTCCACCGATGTGCTGCTGGGGAGCGTGGGCTTTCAGGGTCCATGGTTCTGCGGTAGCCCCGCCATGCTGACTGCCTTGGAGTTGGGACCCCAGAACTTTCAGGCTCCCCGCTGTATAGCTGGGAACCCTGAGTGCTTCACCTTGAGACAGGACTCTCAGGACTTCTAGACTCCCCACTCCATGGCGTTGGACTCTCCAGACTCTGGGGGACTTCCCGAGCTACCCCCAACTCCAGGCAATGCCCAGTCTACTCCCAAATCTCTGGGAGCAGCCCAAGGTATCCCTCAGAGGCAAAAGCAGCTGGGGGAGTCCCCAGTGTGTGGATAGCTGGCTGCTCCATTTTGTTTTTGAAAAATTGAATGGAAACATTTCAAATTTTCGAGACCAAAAAAATGTTGGCATTTGCTTTCCATGAGTAATATCAAAATTTATAGTTTTTGTTTCTATTTGGAACATTAGTTTTTAAATGTTGGAATTTCCTGTGGCTTGGAAATTCCAAGTTTCAATCACCTGCGTTCTCCTGGGATGTCTGGAGCAGCCTCCCACTCTGGCCTTGTTTCCAAAACACCCTGTACCTCGCTGCATAGTGAGCCCCAATGAACCTGGGCTCCATAGCACATAGTAGAGGTCCAGCCCAGGCTTGGCCTCCCCAGATCATGCCTCTCTTCCTCCCCTTGCAACCGGTCTGTTTTCAGAACTTCTGTGTCCTCAAGTGAAGGATTGATTTGATTCTGTGGTCTTATCTTAAATTGGGTTTAAGTGGTGTGGCAGGCCGTGACCTGACCCTCTGCATTGGATGTAATGTTATCTTGTCAGAATACATACATTATATATGAAGTCACTTGTGTATGTTTGAATTGCATGGAATTCTGAAAAGCCACATTATGATATTAGCAAAGAAACACAAATGGCAAAGAAAAAATATAGCTTAGTCAGTGGCCATTTCTGTTGCCTATTAAATGTTTATTTGCAAATATACTGTATTAAGTGCCTTTTGTTTGTTTGTTTCTTTGTTTGTTTCCTAGCTTCTGGGATGGAGGGAGTTGCCTTCAGAAAATCCTGTGTTATCAGCTTACCTAAAACTATTTGGCCAAGAGCTGGCCTTTGCTGACATCAACAAGGATATCATTCAGCAGGCTATTAAAGTATGGACTCCCCCTAATTTTGTCTGAAGTGTTTGGCAGCTTTATATCCTCATCTAACCTGCTGTATCTCTGTTACATTGTAGCTTGTGACTGGACCAGCAGACAGACACGCATGGCTGAAGAGAGTGATCCATCAAATCCAAAGTGGCATTGCAGAACGATGGATTCTGCCATTATATTCAGGAGAATTTCGGCACATCGTCCCTACCACTGTTGGTCTGCCATTGGAATACAGTTTATATACTACTGCTCTGGCACATGCAACAACCCGTGGTGAGCTTGAGAACATAAGATTTGCTATATTGGATCAAACCATGGGATGGGAGACAAATTAGGAGGAGGTGGAGTGAAAAGTTATGAGAACAGAAAGGTAGGAGGGACTAATTTACGTAGGACCTTGAAAAGCCAGGACAGAAAGGGAGGAAGGAGAGCTAGTGAAAATATTTGAAGCGGGTTGGGACGTAGTTGCAGCAGCAAACAAGGTAGATGATTTTTGCTGCAGTATTTTGGATGGACAGAAAAGGGCGGGGGTGAGGTAAGAATCTGAAAAACCAAAGAGAAGGTGGTGACAGTACTCAAGGTCAGAAATAACCAAAACCTGGACAAGAGATTTTTCTATAGGAATGGGTGGATTCTGAAGGTGATGCATAGAAACACCCAGCAGACTTAGTACCAATGTGGAGAGAGAGGAACTGAAGATGGCTCAGTAGTCACTGGGAGGAATTGCCAGGAATGATAGAGACGGGAGGAGGAGTAGAGGGCTTGCAAGGGGACATGAGGAGTTCCAGTTTAGACATGTTATGTTTGAATGGGTGGTAGAATATTTAGTGATCATAAGATTATGCAGAAGAGTTTTAAATTAGATAATATTATTTGACTCTCTCTTTCGCTGCAGCAGTGAATCTCACAAACTGACTACACAGTGTGTGAAGAACATTTTCCTTTGTTTTAAACTTGCCTGTCATTAACTGAATTGAGTGATCCTTTTTGTCCTGTAGTACGGTAATGTGTCAAAGGGAGGGACCATACCTTTGAGTAACAGTAAATTTAAGGTTTCAGAGTAGCAGCCGCATTAGTCTGTATCCACAAAAAGAACAGGAGTACTTGTGGCACCTTAGAGACTAACAAATTTATTTGAGCGTAAGCTTTTGTGAGCTACAGCTCACTTTATTGGATGCATTCAGTGGAAAATACAGTGGGGAGATTTATATACACAGAGAACATGAAACAATGGGTGTTACCATTACATACTGTAACGAGAATGATCAGGTAAGGTGAGCTATTACCAACAGGAGAGTGGGGGTGGGGGGGGACCTTTTGTTGTGATTTAATTCTTCCCTTTTCAAGGCCTAATTTTTGTAGCTGCTCACTATATGTAGGTCTTATGATATCATTTGCTATCTTTGTTGCCCATTTTTAGTCTCTCTTAAAATGAGCAAGCTAAAACTGAACACCTACCTCCAAAGGAGAGCACATACCATTGTTCAATATCATATCATTAACTTTTGCAATAACTTCTATCCCCAAATATCCCATTCACTGCCCACTGGCCCAATTTCTTCACTGAGGTATCCAACTGGGCTCCTTTATTTCTTTCCTTTAATGAATCTTGCAAGTTAAGGGCTGATCAGCATATGTAAGCCTTTTAGATGATGTTTGATTCTTATCCCACTTAACTGGTTACTCCATAACTTGAGTGGAGTTGTTTCTGATTTACACTGGTATAACTGAGAGCAGAATCAGGACCTATATTTACCAGTGTTCATCACCTTCCATTTATCCAATCTGAATATCATCTGCCATCCTGCCATCAAATTCACCAACACATATAAATCTTCCTGGATTTTCTTGGAATCTTTTATGATTTCTACACATAGAAACAACTTAGTGACATCAGTACAAGTCGCCAGCTTGCTCACCACTTCCCCTGCAAATCATTAATTAATATAATAAATTAACTAGCCTTAGTTCTAGTATATACCCTTCATGTTCCTGACTGCCAATGTCTCTCTACTTTAAGGAGTAGCTGTTCACTACATCTCTGAGTTTCTTATTGATTCTCCAGTTTTTAATCCAGGACAAGACTTTGCTCTTATCACCATGGCTTTTATTTTCATTAATAATCTGTTACGAGAGCCTTTTCTCTTTACTTGTTTATTTTTACTTTTACCATCTTTTACTTTTGTTCTCGGTCTCTTGTAGTTGAAGTAAAGCTGTCCCCTCCTTTATCTGGTGATTTTAGACCTTCACAGTGGTATGAATCCAGCTTGCAACTTCATGCTGACATCAGCCCAAGGTAAGGAAAGTGTTATCATTTTTATGGTTTTGAGATTTACAGAGACTTCTATGGAAAGGGAGTTCTACCTCTTAAAGAGCAGTGGCTAAATACAGTGTCTGTTTGCTTATCTGTGGCAATTTCACTCTCTTTCAGTATCTACTCTTACACAGTGGCAATGATGGGAATCAACACAGAATACTTTCAGTCTTCTATTGAAATTCACGCCAAACTCCGTGTACAAGCTCCATTGAAATTTGATGCCAAGATAGACATGAAGGAAAAAAGTTTTAAGTTTGTAACAACCCCATGCCAACAGGAGACTGAGATAGCAATGGGAAGGTAGAGTTGTTAAATTTCTGTCATTTAAAACAATTTTTCCCCCCTAATCTATTGTTTTGTGAAACCTTCCAACACAGTAAGCAGTATAATCATTTCACATGATCAGAGATACATGTGACTCCTAGTTACATTGCACCTCTTTTGTGGAGTGTAATTCATGATTTCTTTTTTGGTTTGTTTTTTGTGTGTGTGTGTGTGTGTATAACATGGGATACAATTTTCAAAAAGCACCTAAATCACTTTGGAACTTAATTCCCACTTTCAAAATTGACTTAGAGCTTGGCTGTATGAATATTTAGTTCAAAGCAAGCTAGGGTGTAAATCTACCTTACACTAGTCCGCTGCACCTGTCTATGTGGTCTCTGTTGCTGCTGCCATTTCAAAGGGGGGTACATCAAAGTGCACTAAGGAACTTTCAGTGCCCAGCAGCAGGGTCCACACAGACACTTAGCACACAGCAGGCTAGTGAGAGGCAGTGTACACCCCTGCTTGTTCATATAGCCAAACCCTTAGGCACTCAGGAACCTAAGTCAAATTGGTTTTGAAAATGTTACCCATTGTCTTTATACCAACCTGCAGTTCATCTAGGACTGAATGATTCCTAAGTCATGTTATTAGGCTGCAAAAATGCATTTATAAATATTTATTTGGCTCTTACAATTTAGTGTTCAAAACTGTGTGACTCTTAAAATAGAGACATTTTAATAGAGACATGATTAAATCCATCCAACAGCCCTTTGGAGCTACTTATAAATAATATTTCATGCATAATCCCACAGGCATAAGGCTTTTGCTGTATCAAGAAATATAGGAGAACCAGGCACAGTGAAGAAGATTCCAGTACTCCCAGAAGGTGCTGGATCAAGTATTCTGAAGGAGCATTTCAAATCGTCTGAAAAAACTTCAAGAGAAGGTGCCGTGACGGTAACTAACTCTTCCATGTTTGTATATTAATACTTATTTTCTCTACTATATGCATAGCGATATTTGTACTTCTTGTCTGTGAAAATGCTACCAGTGTACTAATGTGCTCATGTTTAATGCAGCAAAGAGAGACTTCTGACATCATACCTAAGAAATATTCCTACGGTCCTGAACAGGAACTTCACCACAGTACAAGAGGAAAAACATATACGCAAGCCATTTGTGTCAAAGTGACTCGTTTTGGTTGTCAGGCCTGCTTTTACAGGAGAGCACGAGACGCTTCTGTTTTAAAAAATACATATTTTCACCGATTAATTGGAGAACATGAAGCTAAAATCGTTTTGAAACCAGGTATAGTACTGAATACAAGATTTTCTGTTTATCCATGTCAGTGCAGCTGAAGCAGTAGATCTCCTAATGGATGTATCTGGTGTGTAGCCCGTACAGATGCAGCGATAGACAAAATACAGCTGGAGATTCAGGCAGGATCTAGAGCAGCTTCCAAAATAATCCAGGTGGTAACCCTAGAGTCCGAGGAAGAAGAAGATTCATCTCCAGATGACGGGGTTCAAACGAAACTGAAGAAGATCCTAGGAATTGAAAATGTGTTTAAGGTAATTGACGTTGAGGTGTTGAGGGTGTATGGGGACATATTTAAACAAACAAAAAGCAGTGGTTTTAAAATACAGTATGGAATATCTGCATGGAAAATGGAGAATAAGGGTAGTAAGAAGGGTAAAATTTCAAATGAGAGGCCCGTGTGTGAGTTAACATCAAAGGTTTGAGTGGAACTGGGGTGGTACGTAGGCATGGTGTTGGCCCTCTGCACATGGACGAGTTTCAGCCTAAGTAAGTGGGGACAGTTATTTTCCCACCACATCTGATTTAATAATCACAGCGATGAAGCCGTGCTTCTTTAAAGGGAAAGAACAAGTAAATAGTTGGAAATCCAGTGAGATAAAATAGTAAAAATTTATTTCTATTGATGTGTCTAATCACCGGCGTGGTTCTTTGAAACGCTGATGCAGGTTGGCAATAGAACCCAGCGGCGCAAGACGCAGTCTCTCAAGAAAGGAAAGACCCAGGTGACGGAGCTGAGGGCAGAGCCCAGTGCTAAATATCCATCTAGCTCATCGTCCTCCTCCTCCTCCTCCTCCTCGTCTTCCTCCCCGTCTGGTCAGAAGGTCAAAGGTCAAGATCCGAAAGACAAAACGTTGCAACCGAGAAGCAGAGACGAGAGCAGCAGCAGCAGCAGCAAAACCAGCAGCAGCAGCAAAACCAGCAGCAGCAGCAGCAGCAGCAGCAGCAAAACCAGCAGCAGCAGCAGCAAAACCAGCAGCAGCAGCAGCAGCGGCGACAGCAGCGACAGCAGCAGCAGCAGCGACAGCGGCAGCAGCGACAGCGGCAGCAGCAGCAGCGACAGCGGCAGCAGCGACAGCAGCAGCAGCAGCAGCAGCAGCGGTGAAGCACGTCGGCCTGGGAGCAGGCATCAGCTCGTCATAGAGAGGAACAGCAGCAGCAGCGGTGGGGGCGGCAGCGAGTATTCCCAAGCGCAGGTACCTCACGCGTGTCCCTGGGATGCGTGGGGGGGCTGGGGGTGGGGGTGGGGGAGATAAAGTCAGCGTGAGGTATATTTCGGATAGCCGGCGGCTTTGCGTAGCATATCAGGAAATTATTAATTGATGCTACAGAACACACTGGTCCAGTATTGTGAAACCTGCTCTAAGAACCCCACTTCCACCAGGCAACCACCTGTCTCAGGGGACCCCTTTAAAGTATCGCCAGGGCTTCCCCTGCTTTGGCTGAAGTATTGTTACAGGCCACCAGAACGAGGCGACCAATCTTTCTTGCTTTATTGGTCTCTCTCAACGGGCTCTGCTGTTGCATGTTTCAGTCTCAATTCTCTGGTGGCGTTTCCAGGGGCTGCTAATTTAGGAGCATTCATTTTTTTGTTTAAACATTTCAAGATTATACTGTTGTTTTTCAGTCTGAAATCCTTACTTACTTGCAGTGCTGCACATTTCAATGCAATTACAGAAAGCAGGTTCTTCTGTGTAAGGCTCTTCAACTTCCTACTTTTATCATTTTCAAAGGGAACTCCAGAGATCTATCAGTATCGTTTCAAGTCAGCACATACACAGGAGGTAAGTTTTCTTCACTCATTGCGTCTGACTTGACATGGGTAGAATAAAATACTGCAAGAACTCACGTGGGAATTACTACCTGTGTGACGGAAAATAAGTGGTAGTACCGTCTTTATAATAGCAAAAACAAGGAGGAGTCCTTGTGGCACCTTAGAGACTAACAAATTTATTTGGGCGTAAGCTTTCGTGGGCTAAAACCCACTTCATCAGGTGGGCTATAAACCATCTCATTCATTTTAGCCCGCGAAAGCTTATGCCCATATAAATGTGTTAGCCTCTAAGGTGCCACAAGGACTCCTCCTTGTTTTTGCTGGTACAGACTAACACGGCTACCCCTCTGAAACCAGTCTTTATGATGTTTACAGTTTCTAAATATGTTCCAGTGTTTTGCAGAAATATAAGAAGACAAAGGGCCAGATTTTCCACTGCATTGTAGCTTGTAAAGGCATTTGTGCCTGTGCCAAGTGGGTATAAAACTCTAGCTAAGCAGAATGTCTATACAAGGTGCAAGTCCACAGAGATTCAGGCCCAAACGCTAGATCAACAAAGGGACTTAGGTGTCTAAAGTAGGATGACCAGATGTCCCGATTTTATAGGGACAGTCCCGATTTTTGGGTCTTTTTCTTATATAGGCTCTTATTACCCCCCACCCCCTGTCCCGATTTTTTACATTTGCTATCTGGTCACCCTAGTCTAAAAGTAGATCACACAGCAATTAAGCACCTATGGCTGGCCCAGGTCAGCTGACTGGGGCTTGTGGGGATTGGGTTACAGGGCTGTTTAATTGCAGTGTAGATGTTTGGGCTTGGGCTGGAGCCCAGGCTCTGGGACTCGGTGAGGGGAAGGGTTCCAAGGCCTAGCTCTAGCTGGAGCCCGAACATCTACACCACAGTTAAACAGCTCTGTAGCTCCAGCTCCACGGGCCTGAGTCAGCTGACCTGGGCCAGCCGTGGGTGCTTCATTGCAGTGTAGACCTACCTTAACTGTCATTTTAGGTGCCTAAGTGCAACGTTTAGTGCCACTGAAATCCTCAAATCCCCCACTCAGCTGCTGCCTTGCCCTTCAGGTGTCTGAATTTCCACCAGTGGGCATGCACAAATCTGCCTAAATCTGACATTGCTGAGTGTTCAGTGTGCTAGCTCACACCTTTAAGACCCAGCGAGATTCTCAAATTAGGCAGCCCCTCATCTATCTCCCCAGCAGGGCCTGATAAGTGTGCTCTGCATACCTACCATCAAAGACAGCCGGGGTGACCACATGTGGGAAGAGGAGCAAGAGTGTGTCCATCCCCTAGAACACCCAATAGCCCAGTAGTTTAGGGCACTGCTAGGATGTGGGAGACCTATTTCAAATCCCCGCTCTGCCTATTTGGAGCAGAAACTTAAACCTAAGTCTCCCAACTCTCAGGAGCTTGTCCTGACTGCCAGGATGTTCGGTATTCAGGGTGGATGGTGGTTAGGGCACTCTCGGGTATGTGGGAGATCTACACTGAAGTCACTGCTTCCATGTTTCAGAGGAACAGCCGTGTTAGTCTGTATTCGCAAAAAGAAAAGGAGTACTTGTGGCACCTTAGAGACTAACCAATTTATTTGAGCATGAGCTTTCGTGTGTTCATTTAATTATTTATACAAAGTGGACCATCTCCGACAGGAGAGATTGAGAGAGTCCAGCCCTGGAATACCCTGTAGCCTGCAGGTAGGATACTCAACTGGGATGTAGGAGACACAAGTTCAAATCTCTGCCTCAAATCGGGCAGAGCAAGAATTTGAAAACAGGCTTCCCAACCCCCAGCAAGTGCCCTGAGCTCCCGGACTATTGGCTATAATGCAGGCTTTCTCTCTCTTGTTTTTTGTAAGGAGCAGAGCTGGCTTAGGTGCCTAACACCAGGTGAAGGTTCATGGCTATGAATCCAAGGTGAAGTTAGGCACCTACCTATCTTTGAGGGGTGGGGCTTCAAACATGCCCCGCTCCCTGGCATTTCCTATTGGCTACTTTAGGTGGCTCCCCACTCAGTTGGCTGGTGTTTGTGAATCTCTTTCTGAGGCACTTAATTTTCCCCATGCCTTGTAGAGGAGCATGCATGCCTAACTCGGGCCTAAGAATTCCGCTAGGTGACAGGGTGCATGAAAATTAGGCATTGCAACACTCACTGGTACCACGCCTAAGTCCCTTCATGAGCTTAGCCCAAAAGCCGTGCCATGAGGAACTTAAATAATTTGGCAGGCTCTGACCACGTGACATCTTGGGCTAGCTTCTCTTAGCTAACTTCATATGCTACTATGAACTAGCATAGCCGCATTGACAAAGGCGGCAGAATACACCGGCCTGTGTTACTTTAAATCAGTGGCGGGTGCTTGTTAAGGGCCTGATCCAAAGAGGAGTCAATACCAACCATTCCCATTGCAATCATTGTTTCGTGGCAAGTAAAGCGATCGGTAGGAAAGTAAGATGAAAAGTGGTGGTTCAGCCGTTCATGGGATCAGGCCCTAAACTGCTAAAGAGCAATGGACTGAGTCAGTGCTGCTCTTTTATATCAGACCAAAGCTTTGCTGTGTGGCAGTGATTTGGGTATTATTTATATGCAGCCATAGGAAGAGCTTGTAAAGCAGAAGTGCTATTTGAATGCGCTGTTCCTGTGTAAGTAGTCTTAAAGAGAGAGCAAAAGTTAACCTGCTTTATAGCTTGATCCTGACAAGTCTTATCCATACAAGTAATTCTTACTTATGCAAATAACCCAGTGGGTCTGCTCAGATACGTAAGAACTACCTGGGCAAGAAGATCCATGGGTGAGCAACAATTTGTAGGGTTAGACCCAAAGATATTAAAAAGGAATAATATTTGGAAATCATTCAGCTACTCCATTAAAGGTTATTGACAATAATCTGGTAATTAGAATATGCTTGTAAAAGAATATTCTGCATTGTCATTTCGAACAACTTCCTATGAACTACCCTAAATTGCTCTACTAAGGATGATTTTTTTTTATTGTTGCAGTATCCCAAAAAGAAAGTCCCAGGCAGCAGCAGCGTCACCAGCAGCAGCAGCTCCTCCTCCTCCTCCTCCTCCTCAAGCTCTAGTTCTAGTTCCAGTAGCAGCGAAGACACCGACAGAGCAGGTTCCCGGGTCAGTTTCTTAGTCTTCAAGAAATGCAGTGTGTTAGCATGGCAGCACTGGCATGGACTTGCAATTATTGCCCAGCTAATGGGCAAAGAAAAGTAGCTCCCAGTCTGTGCTGCCTCTTGTTTGCAAGCACAAGAGAAAGATGTCTGTGCAAGAAACCTTCCCTCTCTCTCCCATGTTACACAACTGTGCAAAAGCCAACAGCAGGAGCAGGCCACATGCTTCCAACACGGTGAAACACAGGACTGCTTGCTCCTGTTTCACCTTGGGGAGCAGGACCCTATTGTGCTAGGCGCTGTACAAACACAGAACAAAAAGGTGGTCTCTGCCCCAAGGAGCATACAGTATAAGACAAGAGATGACAGGTGATATAGACAGACAGGCAGGGGGGCACAAAGAAACAGCTTGTCTCCAAAGCGTAGTGCTGAGTATTAACAACAAACAGCATACCTAAAACATGCTGATTTAATTAGACACTTTTTTTTTATTTCCAGAAAAATGCACTTGTTCTAATTATTTGGGCTAAATCCCACAGCTTTTACTCCATGTTCACTTTGTGAAAACTCCCATTGACATCAACTGGAGTTGTGGCTGAATAAGCATTGCAAGTTTTGGCCCATTACATTTTTATTTATTGTATATTATATTATTGTATATCTGTAATGTGTAAAATTACATGCATTTGTCAACTTCTTACTTTCCATTTATATTCTTTGTACCGTAAATAAAAGCTAACATAATATAGTCATTTCTTTGTAATATTGTTCTGAGGCATTTTTTTTCGTCCCTTGCCTTTAGCCTAAATTTTTAGGAGACAGTAAAGCACCAGAACTGGCTGTTATTCTTCGTGCTTTTCGAAATGATAAAAAGCTGGCAGGCTTCCAGCTCGTGCTATACGCAGATTTATACTCCACCAGACCCAGGATACAAGTGTTTGTGTCAAACATCACAGGATCAAGCACATGGAAAGTCTGCGCTGATGCTTCAATCATTAATGCTCACAAGGCAGCGGTAAGACTCAAAAATAGCACCGCACAGCTCTAAACACAATACAGCGATCTCAAGTATGTTTTACTTTTTAAAAAATTGAATGTTTTTATCTCCATTATAGAGTTATCTGAAATGGGGCCGGGATTGCCGGGACTACAGGATTTCTTCAGAGTTTGTAACTGGCTGGTTTGCTGATCACCCAGCCATGCAGGTGAAACTGGAGTGGCCTAAAGTTCCTTCAAGAGTCAAATCAGTTGCCAAATGGTGAGGTTTTGCTCTTTCATTTCAGCAATTTATTTTACGGTGTACCAGTAAAGCTGGGAAAATCCATATTCAGCCTTGAGCTTCCAGTGATTGACTGCCAATTCTTGGTCTCTATATTTTCTCGTTTCTGATTTGTTTGAGTTTGGAAACTCATCAAACGACCCCTAAGGAGTATAAGATAACCATATACTGTACAAACCTACCATACTGTACAAGTGGAAAGTAATCTCCTTATACCAGACAGAAGTTACTGAAAAGTTAGGGCCAGATTCTCTACGTCATGAAGCTCCTGTTCAGTAAAGCGGGGAGTGGGGATGGGGCCTGCCATGGAGTCCATTATGGCTCACTATTTCTCACAGTGGACCTGTGTTGCCCTGGGGACTGCTCTGACTTGTGCCAGTTGCTGTGTATGCTGGCTTTGTGCCACATAAGAGCTCCTTCACACCAGAGGCCTTTTCAGCTGTCCACATCATCTGCTCTCAGCCACAACAAAGGGGCTAGTCCTTAATATCTCCTCTAGCTTATGGTCAGATGGAAATGCCTCAGATATCCAATACCTGAGTGTCTGAGGGACCTGAGTAAACTTTTTACCGTTAAATAATGGTTTTCTTTTTCAAGGCTTTACACTTTCATCCCGGGAGCTGCCTATATACTAGGCTACTCTGAAATACAGCACAAAAATCCTTCTCAACAGGCCAAGTTGATTGTGGCTCTAACTTCTTCAAGGACTTTTGATGTTGTTGCCAAACTGCCTGAGGTGAATATACAGCATAATCATGCCATCACATATTTCACCGGATAGAATACTTTGATGCTTTTTTTATTAGAGCTGGGTCAACATTCCAAAAAAGTATTTGAAAACATTTGTTCAGATTAAAACCATGATATTGATTCACGGTTGTCTCTGACGCTTTTACTTTCTTTCCAAGGACATTTGTGTGGTGATATTTGTTCAGAGAAAGTGCCATGATTACTTATGTTAATATGTGTTTGTCCATCCATCTCGGAAACTCTTTTTGAGTTTGGAAGTTATCCGCTCAGAAAGCAGAAACAATACCATATGATTTAGTTGACCGATCACATAGCAGGAGTGAATACTGGCAGTAGTCATGGTGAAGAGTTCATGAGAAGTGAATATGCTGAATTATGTTCACATCAACTATTTGTCAAATAATTTTAAAAAAACAATATTTCTGTAAAAATCTACGTCCTCCCGCAGATAATTCACAAATAGGAAAAGAGGCTGAAATCAACAGATAAATTATTTGCTGTGAATAGCTTGCTGAACTCTATTTTAAATCTGTTTTCTAATTACTTTTCAGCTGACCATTTATAACACAGCCCTCAGGATTCCGCTGTCATTGCCTGTAGGGCCATCTCTACCAGCCTCTGCCTCATCACTGCAGCCCCCGATCTGGAATTTCTTTTCTGAAGCACCATCCGCAGTCCTGGAGCATCTGAAAGGTCAGCAGTTCTCCCTCTTTAGAGGCACAAGCTCTACAGGCTCTATCACTATTTTATTTATTATCACTGCTTCCATTGAAGTCAGGGGAGGTTTAACCCCTGGCTTCGGTTGGAGCCGAATCAGGGAGGGCATAAGCGTGAAGGAAAGCAGCTCAGGATTGAGCCGGGTGGCTGATCCACACAAGGATGGCAGGTTAAAAACATGAGTCTATGGCCCCTGTCTGATAATACATGGAAAGGTTTTTCTCTTTTTAAGAAATAAATAGCACTCTAGTGATTTTTCTTCATTATGATAATGTTACATCATTTCCAACTGTAGAGGACATAATGTATGGTGCACAGAAGCCCCAAAGTATTTATTTCCAGATTGGAAATCAGAGAAAAATCATTTCATTAAATCATTAATGAATCATTAAATTCCAAAAAACTCCTCACATTGGTGCACGTACTGCTTTTGTTTCACATCCAGTCTGTCTGCAAGAGTCAAGATAAATTTACACAGGAATCCATGACTTCACTTTAATCATTTGTTCTGGAAAATATGAACTGATACATTTTGAATTGTCAGAAAACTAATTTGTTGCTAAAATGTGAGGAATATATTTTTCATGCCTTGCTTAGAGATTATGGACACTGAGTAGCCTAAATCCCATGTAATCTTAGAGAAAAATATTATCTGTTCTCTCACTGAAATGTAGATCCAAAATAAAATATTATGTTTAAATAAATATCTCTTATGAAAAGGAAAATATTCACTTGTTTCTATGGCACGCTTTTTTTTTTACCAGCTCGTTGCTCAGTTTCCCAAGACAAGATCACAACCTTCAATGAGGTACAGTTTAACTACTCACTGCCCACAGACTGCTACCACATCTTGGCCCAGGATTGTAGCCCAGAACTGAAGTTCCTGGTAATGATGAAGAATGCAGAAGAATATGCTGACCTTAAAGCAATCAATATCAAGCTTGGCAGTCAGTAAGTCATTCTAAAACTCATTAAAATCATCCAGTCCTGAAGTGACAAAGGCAACCTCGAATAAAACACTCTTGGCTTCTGCTGCAAACCTGGAAATCCAGAAACAGCCACAGATGTACCAGTTTGCAAACTTCACTAAAAAAAGAGGGGCACTCTCCCTACATTTTCCTCAGAGGGAACAGATGTTACCTCTGCCACATACTCTGCAACTCGTCAGCCCCACATCCGTTTTATCTGGACTGTGATTTGGCCAGTTTGTTTTCATCCAGCTCCTCTTCTGGCCTGACACTGGAAATGCAAAGGTATCACACCATCCAGATGTAACGCAGAAGAGACTTCCGTCTAAGCGTTACATTGGTGGTATTGCACCCAGAGTTGTGTCAGTGTTTCCCTTTATAACTATGATGTTGAAACAAAATAATGCTAAAATCAGGGATATTTAGTGAAAGAGGTTGTAGTCTGGACATGGTGTGTTCATGAACACGATCAGAGCAGAATATAAATGCATTTTTTCTCTTTTCAAAGTGAAATTGACATGTATCCTGCAAATGGACTTCTTAACCTCATGGTCAATGGTGCTGAAACCCCAGTGGAGAATGTCACATATACATCTGACTTTGGTAGGTGTCCATTTAGCCCTTTCTCATAGGTTGGATCAGGAGAGAGAGAAATATACTCCAGTAGAGGTATTTCTACCATTTTGGCAGTGATATTGCTTTGTACTTAGGGCTAAAGAGTAATATTTACTCTTTACAAATTGTGCATTTATTTACATATTTGCGGATCAGCATTTATAAAGACAGAGTAGAATTGGGAACTTTTGAAAAGTTAAGGAAGAGACAGTTGAGGTTCATTGACCCACCGCTCCCTTTCTAAAATGCGTGGGCATGTAGGATTTTGACTCTCAGAAGTTCTGGACTGGAGGAAGGGTATTCTTTTAGCCCAAATGTCTTAATCACTTATATGATTAAACTTTTCCAAATATAGTTTTTCTTATAGTTGCCATATCTATATGGTGGGACTTTTTTTCCAATTTGACTTATATGTGACATTTTGGGATTTTATATCAATAGAAATATTTATAAAAACAGAACACTAACAAAAAATATGGAGAACTGTAGGGATAAAGTCAGCCACAAGGCAGAGCCTGTTCTGTTCTCCCAATGCATACACATTTTGTTCTATGAATAGACACATTAAAACTTTGTTTACAAGCAAGAGAGCTGGATACAATACAGTTGTCCCCCGACTTGGTTATAATAACACAATTAAAAGGTGTAGGACATTGATGCGCCAAACCTCTCCAAAACTGGATTAACATTTTGGGAGTCCAGGGTTTTATCCCATTATCATTGATTTGGTTACAGGTAACTATAAATGGATCAGGTGACTACCAAGTTGCAGTCAAGTCTTCTGACTCTGTTGGAGTGTAGACAGGGCCTTAATTATCTACAAAAATGTAATACTAAGTATTGGAGGAGTCCATTGTTATTCCCAGGAACCTGTTAATATTTACAAAGGAAAATTAATACAAATGTGATTGTTAGGGCTATAGAGTTAAAATCATGTTTCCCTAGTTCCTGCCAACAACTACATTCCATATTTGCAAATTTTAAGGAAAGTAATTTGTTAATATACAGTGTGTTTTGCTTCTTCAACAACAACAAAATACCTGAAGAAAAACAAGGCTTTGATTATATTTTTACAGAATTATTATAAAGATTATAAAAGATCATTTGTATTTTTATTGCAGATGCTTCTCTGATGATCAGCAGTGAGAAGAAAGGTCTGTCACTTGTGGCTCCTGACTATGGCATTGATAAACTATATTTTGATGGACGTACATTCAAGGTATTTTTCTCTCCTCCGCTAGTGTTTTCATTTGCATAAACTTCCCAGAAAATCCACAAAATTCCATATTTACACAAGGGAATCTCTGCTAATCAGAGTACAAGATTATTTTACCCCATTTAGTGATATTCCAATTCCACATTCAGACTCCAATATCCATACAGATTCCTATTCACTGAAGTAGATGAAACTTTGCATGAGTGCAAGGGTCTGCATTTGCAAAGCCAACTTTAAGATCAGGGTAAAAGAGTTTACAGAATAACAGCCTCCAGGCAGTCATCATAATATTCGACTCTTACATAGCACCTCTCATCCGAAGATCTCAAAATGCTTCGCAGACACTGAGGAATTAAGCCTCAGAACCTGCCTGTGTGTTAGATAAACTAAAACATGGGGTGGTGAAGTGCCTTGCCCAGGACACACATTGAGTCAGTGACATAGTTGCAAAGAGAACTCAGAAATTCTGAATTCCTGTCCCCTGTACTTCTCATTATATAACTCTTCAACTAGTCAAAACCCTGATTTTTTTAAAAAACTCTAATAGAAGGATCGTCTGCTAGGAATGTAGAAGATCAATAAATGGCATGTATAGCAAGTGCTAATTGATCTATTAAAAACATCCATCAAACAAAATGTTTACATCTTCAGCATCAATCATTTAATAGGTTAGACATGGACACAGGGATTTTCAAAAGGACCTCATGGAGCTAAGCACTCAAATAACTCTCACTCAGGCCCCTTTGAAAATCTCAGCCAGAGTGATTGTTACGGAAAGCACAGAATCAAATCTTGTTCTTTAAAAACAAATAATCTGGCTTTACCTTAACTTTTATTTTCCTCTGCAATTATGTTACCTCAGGAGACCATTCTGTAACAAAATTTTGTTTCATTGACATTATCCTGAAATATAAACTTGAATTAACTTTTACTTTGTTTTCACAAAGGTTCAAGTTGCTTTCTGGATGGCAGGGAAAACGTGTGGCATTTGTGGAAAATACGATGCTGAAAATAAACAGGAATTTCAGATGCCCAATGGATATGTAGCTAAAGATGCAGTGAGCTTTGCGCAGTCTTGGATTCTGTCAGAAAAGCCTTGTGCTGGCGGTATGAAAACTTTACTATACATAATGTATGATTACTACAGCTAGTCAGAAAACTGAATTTCCATCCTGTGGGAAATTGACATTTTGAAAAAAAAAATCCCAAATAAGTATGAAAAGTTGAAATCTTGAAATATTTCTCGGAACAGAAATTCCAACATAATTTTAATTCAAAACATCAAAAATACTTTATTGAACTGATTCATTTTGATAACATTGAAACGTTATAAAATATTAACTCTGGTATATGAATATTAAATATAACATACATAATATTAAAAATTAAGTTTAAAAAAATTAAAAGTTGAAATGAAACAATAAAGCCACAATGAAACAAAAGAGGAAAATCAAGAGGAAATGAAAGAAGAGAGTTGAAACAAAATACTCCATTTCAATTTCAAATTGTTTCAAAAATTTTCCATGGAGAATTGCATCAAAATCAACACATTCCTGCAAAAAAATGGTATTTCAATGAAACAGCATTGTTTGACAGAAAACTTTTCCATCAGATTTTTTTGACCAGCTCTCATTATTACTCTGAGTGACAATTTAAATTGTTGGCTCAGTGCTACTATTTTTGGCCTGATCCCACAAAGCACTTAAGCATATTCTTAACTTTAAACATGTGAGTATTCCCATGGATTTCACTAGGACTACTCATGTGCTTAAAGTAAAGTGCATGCTTAAACTGTTTGGTGAATTGGGGCCCTTGTAGTTTATTCTGTTACGTTAGTTTAGATTACAATGCGGTTCAGCGTATATAGTGCCTACATTCAATGTGTGCATGGAGAAAGTAAAATTATACTCAGTAGTAAGTTGAGGTTCTTCTCATCCACCTGTAACTGGCTGTAGTGATCACCGAAGATCAGACCTATCTGTTACTGACCAATGGGGATTGTTTCTTCATAGCAATAACAACCAGATTTACCATATATCTACAAATATATTTAATCAGAATGGTCATGATATTCATGCCATTCTCTATTGATTATATTTATTTGTGCACAGCTCCAGGTCCTTCTCCTGATGATTGAGATCTATTCTCTGTTAAACTCAAGTCTTGCACTTACTCAGTGAGCCAATTTACCCACATAATATTCATTAGGATATTAAGTTAAATATCTCCATATTCATCTAGAGATAACTCAGAACTCCATCTGAAATAAGCATCCTATATCCCCATATATATCGAATTAAATAAAGCAAAGGAAAATTATTAGTTAGGGATATTGCTTTACATATGATCCATATAGAACTTTGGATGGAGCCAATTCATTTGATATACACAAATTATCACTAGCAGATGGAGAACTTCGGAGAAAATCTAAAGCCATTTACAGACGGTTTTGAGATATCAATGATTGTTGTATTGGCAGCCTGTAAACTGCAGCGCTCACTTGTGAAACTTGAGAAAACAATTCGACTTCAGGGCGAAGACTCAAAATGCTATCCTGTTGAGCCTGTGCTGCGCTGCGTGAAAGGATGTTCAGCAACTGAGACCACCCCAGTTTCGGTTGGCTTCCATTGTCTGCCAGCGGGTAAGTCAACAAAAAATCATAGTATAGGAGCTATCCAAATATTTACTACTTTAGGCCCTGATGAGCCAGGTGCTTAACTTTAAGCAGGTGAGTAAACTCTGTGATTTCAATGAAAGTACTCACATGCATAAGCTTTGGCATGTGCTTAAGGACCTCGCTGAATTGGAGTCTTAATCGCTAACATTTGGTGTGTGACACTAACTTCAGTGGATGTAAAAATAAATATGTTGCCTGTCAGCATTTTACGATGTTTTTCCTGGTAATGACTTTTTAAATCTGTAGCTAAATGGAGGTCACATATTATCTATTGTTTATTCATCACTGTCTATGGGCCTGATCCTGCTTCCATTGAAATCAGTTGAGTTTTGTCAATGGTTTAGAGGGGTGGGTTAGGGCCAGACTCTAAGACAGCAACTGAGATTTCACAAATATTGGTATCTACAATGCAATTTCGTTTTCAGAGTTTGACATTTAAAAAACAATAGATTCAAAATGAACTAGTATAAATGAGCATTATAATTGCTGTCTTTTAAATTAATGGTTAGTTTGCTGTGATGGCTGCTTTCCAATCCAGTTTGTCAAATGAAATGTGCATGATAATTAGGAGAATCTAAGTCCAGTCAGTGTACTAATGGAGTCTGTATGACAAATCCCACGTGTTGCAAACTGACTGTTTTTTTTCTTCTTCATTCTTATCTGTCATTTTTCTTCACGTCCAGATTCAGCTGCCAGCTTAGTTGAGGGACAGATGAAGCTTGACCAGAAGTCAGAAGATATACAGGACACAATTGAGGCCCATACAGCATGTTCATGTGAGGAACTACAGTGCATTGCATGAGGCTACAGTTCAGCAGATTAGAAACTTGGAGCATTGTTTTTATACTGTGGTGCCAAAAAATTCCTCTTGGGCAATCACAGATATGTTAATTTAAGTGTTTAAAGTCCTACTGAATCTTCTTGGAGAAAACTGATCTTTTAAGGAAATGTTACACTTTGTCGCTGTAGAAACAATACTGACTCTTCATACATATGTGATTTCCTAATAAATCTGTGCATCTAAAAAGAAATGGCAAAGAGTTCCTTATTTCACAGTATTTAGAAAGGAAGAGGTCTGTTTTGCTTCATGTCACACACACCTACTTCCCATCTGAATGGGAATGTTCAATGTAGTAAAGAATTGTTGTTATTTATTATTACCCAGCACCAAGGAGTCCTCGTCAGGGACTAGCACTCATTGTACTAAGTGCTGTACAAACACAGAACAAAAAGATGATCCCCACCCCAAGCAGCTTACAGTTAAGTACACGACAAAAGACAACAGATGGATACATACAGACAGGGGAGGGCCAGAATTCAGCGTGAGAGGTGTGGGCTCAACACACATGGCCTAAACATTGACAAGTTTTTTGTAGGTATGGTGGCAAAGGAGAGCGTCGAGGAGAGATTTTAAAGGTGGCTAATGAGGTCGTTTTGTGGACATTTATGGGCTGCGCCTCCCAAACATGTGGGGCAGCATGGGAGAAGGCACGAAGGGGCATGTTTGAGAATTTAACTGTTTAGTATTTAAAACCACTTACTGCAATGTATAAAGAGCCTAATTTTGCTCTCACACCAGTGTGAATCGAGAGTTTTTTAATTGCAGGCAGTGGAATTACATCCGTGTAAAACTGGTGTTAGTGAGGTCAAAATCGGGCCCAAAAACTCTTGTCCCTTTTGTGTGAAATTTTGGTGTCAATGGAAGTTTCGCCACTGACTTGAACGGGGACTGACCTTTACCTTTTGTGTTTATCCCCACTGGCTAGTAAGCATCCTGCTGAGAAATATTGCCACCTAGCCATTTCATTACTGACACCTTTTTATTTTTTTACATGACACTCTGTTGATGCAAAGCAGAAGACAGTCTTACTGGCATTGTGAGGCTTAGTTAACATTTGCAACACACTTTGAGCTGGAAAAAGTTTTATATAAGTGCTAAACATTATAATTACTTGAAATTATCACTTATATAGCATCTTCTATCTAAGAATTTCAAACCTTAATTGATTAAACACACAGCACCCCTGTGAGATAGGCACGATTGGTATTATTATGCTCAACATATAGCCAGGGAAACTGAGGCATCAGGTAGTAAAATGACTGACTATGGTTATGATGTGAGCTAGTATCAGCTCTGGTACTGAAACCCAGATCTGCTGATTTCAAGTCCTGTCATCCCTGTCCCACTAGATCATGGTGTATTATTTTTCATAATAACTATTATTATTTTAATAATATTCATATATACAGAAAACATGTGGGAGATTTGTACAGGTTAGAGTTATAATTGTGAGCTAGCTCCTTCTCTCTCAGGCTGATACTTTCAACATCTGTGACTGTGTGTAAGGATTTATTGTTTGAAAAAATGGCACCAAAGTTAGTGCTTTGGGAGGATTAATTGTTAATGTAAGTTAAATTTTCAATGATTTCATGGTTACCCTGTGTTACAAATAGTGTGATGTACACAGCTGCTTTTTACTACTTGGAACTAACTCAGTATCACCCACCTTAACAACATTGCACTCAGTGGAATTGCTCTTTTTGTAGACCGTAGATCATTTGGAAATCAACTCATCTCTACTATGGACTTTGCTTTCTGAACAAAGCCGTATTAGGACAGTTGCATTATAGAGGATATGGCCTGGAATGAATCTTTCAGCATGGAGACTAGTTTAATACCAAAGATACAAACACACTGCACTCTGGAGCTGTGATGGAAAATACAGATTTCCATCAAATACCCCATAGTGCATTATTGTAATAGAACTCACCAGACCACAAAGCCTGGAATAAATATGAGACATGAACCCACCAGAACTCCAAGGGATGTGCTGGCATAAGAGTCATGCCCGACTCTCATTCTGACCAATGATGGTCAGTCTTTGGTTGCAGCTGCATGCCCCTTTCTCTCTCCCTTTCTGCAGCAAAGCTCATTCCCTCACACACCCTCTCACTATCATGAGTTGTTGCAGAATGGGCTGGATGCCAAGCCCTGCTTGTCTTCCAAAAACAAAAACAGAGACAGAGAGATAAAACAGGCTACTCCCTGAGGCAGTGAGGCACAATTCACCCCACCTTGTTTTAAACTGACTTTTTCCAGACAGGCTCCCTTTGACTGACTCAGACAACCCAGCCCACAGGGCTTCACTCAAACCCCCTAGTCTGTAAGCAGAACCAGGAAATCTCTCATGCTTAAAGTGATCGCTGGTCATTTAAACCAGTTTCCAGTATACCACACTTCCAAGGCATCATGCCAATCTTTGGAAGACTCTCCCTTTTCAGGCCTCCCCGTTCAAACTCAAGGAAGAAGAAAAAAGAACTTAATGGGTAAGTTATTGAGGAAAAAAGATCATAGAATCATAGACTTTAAGGTCAGAAGGGACCATTATGATCATCTAGTCTGACCTCCTGCACAACCCAGGCCATGGAATCTCACCCACCAACTCCTGTAACAAACCCCTAACTTACGTCTGAGCTATTGAAGTCTTCAAATCGTGGTTTAAAGTCTTCAAGGTGCAGAGAATTCTCCAGCAAGTGACCCATGCCCCATGCTGCAGAGGAAGGCGGAAAATCCCCAGGGCCTCTGCCAATCTGCCCTGGGGGAAAATTCCTTCCTGACCCCAAATATGGCGATCAGCTAAACCCATCACAGGCCATTGGGCATATCTACCGATAGTAGTTGAAGATCAATTAATTGCCAAATTAGGCTATCCCATGATATCATCACCTCCATAAACTTATCAAGCTTTGTCTTGAAGCCAGATATGTCGTTTGCCCCTACTGCTTCCCTTGGAAGGCTGTTCTAGAACTTCACTCCTCTGATCCTAAAAGAAAATGGACAGTCACCCCTACAGAGCAGGAGACCTGTCCTGAGCAAATTCATCCATAGGTGCAGAGAGCCAATCAACAACTTTCCCAACCCCAATGGCAGAAGCAGCTGCTGAGCTGAGAGGGGAGCACTGAAGCACTCAGTTATTACCTCCTGCTTCACAACAGTTCTGATAACGGTTTTTTCCCCCATTTCCACTGCAGTCAATGCACAAAAGCAAATTATCCCGTTTAGTAGGGCTCTAAGCCAACAAGCAAATGTCCTTTCTGGGCTCATGTGTCCTGGATGAAGACTTGTCAAAGAGGATGATTTTCTTGTAATGTTTTTATTTATTTATTTAGATTTTAAGTAAATAAAAAGCCTCTACAAGGCTCTAGGTAGCCCTAATGCCTCATTAAACATACAATAAAATCCCAGTAGCATTAATACATTCCTTTCAACAGGAACTCGGCCAGCCACTTACAGAGACTCCTTTCTGCCCCATTATCATCATGCAACATCAGTACATCCTCAGCCCATCCAAAAACCCTCTCAGACAGAGGTCTCTTGCAGTGCACCAGGAAAATCACCAAATCTGGACAATTTTGGACTGAGGAGAAAATTCCACAGTCCTAGAGCCCTCACAGAAAACACTCTGCCAGCCTCTTTTACTTGAACCACATTGCAATGTGATTGCAAGATGCTGAACTGGATCCAAACTTCTCCAAAATGTGGTGTGTTCAGAAATGGGATTTTTGGTCAGCCCTTGGTAGCAAGAAACCAGCATGGAAATTCAGACCCAGCTTTAGCTCCAACTTTATTCAAAATTTGGGGCTATTCAGAGTCAGGGATCTGGTCTGGGCTTATTTCTAATGAATAACACTCATAAACACCCCTAAAAGCACAATTTAATAATAACCCTGAGAAGTTATAAATGCTGCCAAGCAGCTTAGCCATTGAACTTCCTAAAGTGCCAGGCTAAATGGCATAGGACTGAAATAGGGATACTGTAAGTGGAAGGCCAGGGATGATCTCAGATGTGTTTCTCAACCCCAAAAGAGCTAAGAAGGGATCTCTACCTGGTGCAGCTGTTTTGTGAAACACTGATTTTATTGTCTGAATGGTTCTCTCAGCCATTCCAGTGGATTGTGGGCAACGCCAGCCCATGACTAGAGGGTGTTGTGGCACCCACCAAAGTACACAAACGTGTGTGTGGGTGTGTGTGTGTGTGTGAGAGAGAGAGACTAAATACAATTTGCCAACACAGCAAATCTATAACTGCCTTCTACTGATTTGCTGTGTTGGCTATTTGAGGGCTATTTATTTTCAGGGCATTCATCTTCTCCAGCATATGCACAGATTGAGCAATCAAGGTCTGACAGGAAGAGAAGCGGTGGCACTTTTCAGGGGCGTTTGGGGTGGTGGACCCACTGCCACAGGCTGCGGTGACTGGCAAGTGCTGTCACATTGTACTCCGGCTGGCCTGCATAGACCCTGCTGATGCTCTCGAAAAGGTACCTAGTTTGTGCAGATGTAATTCCATTTCAAACAAGACTCAGTGCTTAATTTGTACCAGGGCTGAGCCATTGCACCTCTAGGTTTGGCAGTTCATAGCTCTGGCACCTCTGGGCTTGCTGCATCAGTTATGAATGTAAAAAAATTGCTTGAGCCCCTGCGCCCATTTCGTTGCAAATGAAGAACCGACAGGCTGCCACTAACATGCTCTAGGTAACTTTTAGAGTGCATCAGCAGGGGCCAGTTAGAAAGCAACATTTTACAATGCTCTACAGCAGGGGTTCTCAAACTACATTGCATCGCGACCCCCCTCTGAAAACAAAAATTACTACATGACCCCAGAAGGGGGGACCGAAGCCTGAGCCCCACCACCCCAGATGGGGGACAAAACCAAAGCCCAAGGGCTTCAGCCTCAGGCAGGGGGCCTGTAACCTACCCTGCTGCCCAGGGTTGAAGCCCTTGGGCTATGGCCCCGGGTGGTGGGGCTCGGGCTTCAGCTATGGCTCCAGGCCCCAGCAACTCTAAACCAGCCCTGGCAACCACATTAAAATGGGGTCATGACCCACTTTGGGGTCCCAACCCACAATTTGAGAACAGCTGCTTTATGGTTTACATCCCTCCAGTCCAAGCACAGACTAGTGGTGGGTTGTTAAAGGTGAGCAGTGTGTGGGTGTTGC